TCAAAATGTTGTGTACATTAAATGATCAATTATTATTTGGCAACAAAAAGAAATGAAATTCTGATACATGCTACAACATGGGTAAGCCCTGAAAACATTATGCTGAATGAAAGAAGTCAGAGTCAAAAGACACATGCTGTGCTATTCCATTTATCTGAAATGTCTGGAATAGGCAAAACCCTAAAGACAAAATGTAGACTAGTGGTTACCTGAGCCTGGCAGGGAGGGAAAGTGCAGAGAAATTGCCAATAGGTACAAAGTTTCTTTTGGGGGTGATAAGAATGTTCTGGAATTAGGTTGTGGTGTTGGTTGCACATTTCAGTGAATATACGGTACACTTACACAGGGTGAGTTTTATGGTATGTAAATTTAATCTTAATAATAAACATTTTGGGGCACCTGGGTGGCTCAGTGGGTTAAAGCCTCTGCCTTCGGCTCAGGTCATGATACCAGGGTCCTGAGATCAAGCCCCACATCGGGCTCTCCGCTCAGCAGGGAGCCTGCTTCCCCCACTCTCTCTCTGCCTGCCTCTCTGCCTACTTGTGATCTCTATCTGTCAAATAAATAAATAAAATCTTTAAAAAAAATAATAAACATTTTTTTTAAAAAAGATAGTGTGCAGCCAAGGCAGTCAGTGCATCTGTCAGCTGTGCAGAAGCACGAGAGACTTATGGAGAATTATCTCCCACTGTTTCTATCCAAGTACATAGTATTTTTAAAAATATAGTTTTCTGGGACGCCTGGGTGGTTCCGTGGGTTAAGCCGCTGCCTTCGGCTCAGGTCAAGATCCCAGAGTCCTGGGATGGAGTCCCACATCCGGTTCCTTGCTCAGTGAGGAGCCTGCTTCTCTCTCTCTGCCTCTACCTGCCACTCTGCCTGCTTGTGCTCACTCTCTCTGACAAATAAATAAACAAAAAATTTAAAAATATATATATAGTTTTCCTTCTATATGTTTTGAACATATATATAGTCAAATATATAGATTTGTATATATTTCTCATTTATGTTTATATATGTTTCTGTATGTATTGTAGGTGTATGCCTAGGTATTTAAAAATTATTCAAAATACATAATATTATTGTAATTTATATCTTTGAACTCATTTTTGTTTGTATAAAAACTATAGATTTTTTTTCCTAAGGATTTTATGTATTTATTTGAGGGATACAGGGAGAAAGCATGAGCAGAAAGGGAGAAGCAAGCATCCTGTTAGGCAAGGAACCCAATGCAGGGCTCAATCCCAGGACCCTAAGATTATGACCTGAGCCAGAGAGAGATGCTTAGCCAGCTGAGCCACCCAGGTGCTCCTAGACTAGTTTTTTTTAAAGGCTTTATTTTTTTTTAGAGCAGTTTAATGTTCATAACAAAACTGAGCAGAAGGTAGGGATTTCCCATAGGCCCCTGCCCCCACATGCATAGCCTCCTTCATCATCAACATTCCCCATCAGAACAGAACATTTGTTACAATTGATATGTCTACATTGACATATCATAATTATCCAAAGTTCACAGTCTACCTTAGGGTTTACTCTTGATGTACATTCTATGGGTTCCACAAATGCTTAGCGACTTGTAACCATCATTAGGTATGCTACCTATTCATCTTTTCCCCCAACCCCAGCCCCTAGCAAGTGCAGGGGGAGGGGCAGAGGGAGAGAGAGAGATTGAGAATCCCAAACTGAGTCCCTGCTAAGCATGGAGGCTGACTCAGGGCTTGATCTCAAGACCCTGACATGGTGACCTGAGCCAAAAGCAAGAATCAGAATCTTAACCGACTGAGCTACCCAGCCCCTTGCCCCCACCACAGATCTTTTTACTATCTCTAATGTTTGCCTTTTCCAGAAACATATAGTATGTAGATTTTACAGATTGGCGTCTTTAACTTAGTAATAAATCTTTAACATTTATTATTTTTTAAAGTTTTTATTTATTTATTTGACAGAGAGAGACACAGTGAGAGAGGGAACAGATGCAGGGGGAGTGGAAGAGGGAGAAGCAGGCTCCCGGCGGAGCAGGAAACCCAATTGCAGGGCTTGATCCGAGGACCCTGGGATCATGACCTGAGCCTAAGGCAGACACTTTAACGACTGAGCCATCCAGGCGCCCTAATAATAGACATTTATGTTTCCTCCATATCTTTTCATGACTTGATAGCTCATTCCATTGTCTAGATGTACCACAATTATCCATTCACCTATCGAAGAACAATTTAGTTGCTTAATTGCCATCTGTATGCCTTGTTTGGTGAAAACGATAGGTTTTTAGTGTTCATTTCATATACTGCTATTTTGTTAAATTCTCCTACTGCTTTAAGTGTTTTTTGCGTTTATTTCCATTTATTCTTTTGGTTTTTCCACAAGATGCTGGCTTTGGTGTATATATTTAAACTTAAGAAAAGAACACTTGAGGGGTGCCTGGGTGGCTCAGTCAGTTAACTGCTGTTGGCTCAGGTCATGATCTTGGGATCGAGCCCTGCATTGGGCACCCAGCTCGGTGGGCAGTCTACTTCTCCCTTGTCCCTCTCCCCCACTTGTGTGTGCTCTCTCTTTATCTCAAATAAATAAAGTCTTTTAAAACATAAAAATTAAATTAAAAAAAAAAGAGTAGAACACTTTAGAGGTTGTGTAGGAGAGGCAGGGAAGGGATTGTGCACTAGACTGTAAGGTGATTTCACCGGGCCCTTTCTTTGGGGACCCCAGATTCAGTATCATTAGGTCTTTTAGGTGTCAAATTTCTAAAGAAAAATGTCTTTCAGTCTCTTGCCTGAAGGACAATAATTGTCACCAATAACTGCCAACACCCCTGGAGCTAGGCTGGGAGACTCTCCTGGACCGTGAACTTTAAGTATGCAACCTTTCACTGTACATCAGCCTTTGCTAGATCCCTCTGTTTTCAATAGAGGACTCCAGTTGGACAAGGTCCGTTTTCCTCTCAACAGAGATCCTGCTTTACCTTCTCCACACAATAATCCTAGAGTCAGGAGCAAGTTCCAGTTCTGTGGGATCTGAAACACGTGATTTGGGGGCTTTGAGAGAAGGAATAAAAAATAATTAAGCTTTGCAAATTAAAACAAACAAACAAAATGACATCTGAACACATTTCTTGGGCCCCTCTCAGGTCCATGGCAGGGGCCCAAGCAAGTGCTAGGCCCTAAATCTACATATTACTTAACTTCATGGGAGATCTAAAATAACCTCCAATTTTCCTTGAGGTTGGGGAGAGGAAATTGCTTGGTAGTGTATTTAGGGAGGGATTTGGTGATCTAAACTGCAAACAATTTAAATAAAAAAGACCTTTACCACAACTCCCAGAGGTACCTAGTATCTATCTAAGCCTTTGCAGGGTCAAGGAGGGGGACTGGTGTAATAAGATCGCTTCTCAGATTTCCTTATTCTTATTTTCTGCCTTCTTGGGTTTACCAAATTCATTTTCATTCATCTATCAGCTGTTCAGGGTCAACATATTGATATGGTTCTCTCCTTTTCCATTCTTGATGTTCTTGAGTTTTGTTCAGTAAAAAAATGATTTTCCTGTCATTTTGATCAAGTTTCAGAAAGGAGCAGAGGTAAAGGTGTATGCTCTACAATTTACAATGCTTAACCCAAAATCAGAATGGGCTACATCACACTCCAAATGCCCCCTCCCTAAATTTTATACTTTTAGCAGCACGGCATGAAAATATCCACGTACCCTTACCCTTGGCAATATTCCATATTCTCAAAATTTCCCCATCTGGTTAGAGTAAACTGTCTTATTATTTAAATTTGCATTTTCCTGATTATGCTGAAGTTCGGCATAATTCTGTATGTTTATTGGCCATTGTGTTGCCTCTTCTGTGAATGACCTGTTCATATACTTTATCCATTTTTGTAATAGGTAGTAAAGGGGAAAAGAACCTGCCACCTTAAAATATGCCAGTTTGGCATACTGATTGATCTGAAGCCAAGTGAGAAAAAACAGATACAAGAAGGGCTCTTTGACCTTTCCCTTTCTACCTAAAACAGGGCATACAATTTCCCCTAAAGAAGGTGCCCTCCCTGGTATCAGGAAGAAGACAACATTCTTATCACTGGAGACAGGGAATTGACACCAAGATTAATCTGTATCAACAATCCTTCTAGAAGAACCCTTGTCTTTCCTTAGTTTCCCTCATCTATTCTTTAGTCATTTTCCCACAGTTTACCAAGCCTTGTCCAAACCCTCTTTTCCTGTCTCGTCAGTCTCCCCAATTTATTGTTCTTTGTTAAAATGGTATGTAAACTCTCAATCCTATTCACTTCTTTGGGTTTTCTTTTCTTATATATAAAAGCCTCACCATACACATAAAAATATTAACATCAAATAAAAGTTGTATACTTTGCTCCCAACTTTCTGAAACTTAAACTTTTTTAAGTTTAATCCTCTGGCCCAGCCACAGAACCTGAGGGTAGAGGAAAGGTCTTCCCTCCCTTATAGTAGTTGACCTTTTTCTAAACTGATTTGTAGGCATTCTTTATAGTTGTTAAAACAAAAATTGCTGTTCTACAATTTGTGAATATTTTCTTCTAATTTATCTTTTTCACTTTCTGGCATCCAAGTTCTAGGACATTTTAAATTTTGATATTATCTTGCTTTTTGTTTCTATATAAAGATTTTCCCAATCCTAATGTCTTAAACATGATTTAAATTTTCTTTTAATACACATGTGGTTTCATTTTTCAAATTATGGTCTTTAATCCATGTAGAATTTATTTTTATGCTGTTAAGGGCCTTTTTTCCCCCATGTGAACAATTGGGATATATACTGAATAGTTCATCTTTCATCCATTGATTTAAAATGCCATATTTATTAACTACAAAAGTTTATATGGGCATTTTCGGTTTCTGGATTCCCTAGTCTTGCTCACAGATTTGATATCTTACTGACTACACATTTTTAAAACTGCACTTCACATAAGAAATATCCTTGTAAGAAATTAAATGGGAATTTGCTAATATTAGAAAAAGAACCAACTGGAGATTGAAATAAAATGTTCACTTTAATATTTATCACACAAATGTTTACTTACACATATCTGAAAATTATATGAAGACAATTTGTGCATGTCACAATTATATTACTATCATATAAGTACTACACATAATCATTCATTCAACTGTATCAGGATAACACACAAGGTTTTTGTTAGTTTAGACTTCTTAGTTAAAAGGAAACACCATATAAGGAAGATGAATTTCCAAGATTAAGTTATTAACAATACAAATAAAAGTTATTTCTAAATGTCTTACATTTTGACAATTTTGAATTATACTTACATACTCTTAGTTCCAAAAACCATAAATTATAACACGGGTCACTGTCAGGGTGAAAATATATTTTTTAAAGCTTCTTTTAAAATATGCTATTATTATGCTTAACATCACTTGATTTATTCTTGGCACATGTGGCATCTGGGAAAGTAAAAATACATTTTGCCAATTTTATGTTATTTGTGCAGGTAAAGAGAAAGAGCACAGTTTGGGAGGCAGACAGACCTGTGTTCCATTACCAGCTTTGTTCAAAGTTATGTTGTATGAGGCTGGCCAATTACTTCTTGGCACTGGGGCCGGGATTAAACTAAATAATGCATATTTTAAAATGCATAGCATGGGCACTAAATGAATGATAGATCCTTTCCCCAATTTATTCACACTGAAACAAAAGCAAAATACCAGTCTTATGTTTTTATATAATGTAAAAAAAAATGGAAATTTAAAAATAAAATTAACATGTTTTGAAAAATTGTACTTTTAAGAAATAAAGAAAGCCTTCATCGGGTTTAAATATTTCTCAATAAAACTTAGTGCCTACTATACCCTGATTTTTTTTTTTAAGTCCTAAAGTATGATAAAATGGTCAATGGTTAAGGACTTTTGGTTTTGTTTTTGTTTTTGTTTTTTTTGTGCTACTGATATAAAAATAATGGCTATATTTAAGGCTTATTAAGTGATTGTAGTTGCCCTGAACCAAATCTGTATCTTTGATGTTGTACTATCAACTGAAACAGACCAACTGCCTTGAATGAGAAGATCCATTGGTGGCATGTGGCAGTATAGCTTGTCTGTCACTGAGGATGATTCTTATATACACAATCACAAACCCACCTTTCTCATGCTAAATTCTTGGTGTTTGGAAGATCTAAGATTCCTGAAAATTAAATTTAAATTGTCACAAGGAATAGCCTACTTTAGACAGCAATGCTTCCATCCCTATTCTTGGATCTTTTGTCCCCTACCCTGACCACCTACCAAATCGTCTTTCCAAATGGGACTGAAAAACCCCTCCTTCAGGAATCTTTTCCTAACCAAACTCCACATCCCTCCACTTATGTCCCTGATACTATTGTGTAATTTGTATTAGCTTCAACCTGCATATATTATTATTCATGTTTTGTTTGCCTTCTACTTCTAGCTAAGCTGTAGTCTCTTTGACTTTTTAAGCTTCCACAGTGTTTAGCACAATACTGTGCAAGTATATATGTATGTGACTGTGTGTATGCATGTGGAATGTGTGGGTGTGCATGTGTTGAATGAATAAAAGATTAAAGAACCTGGGTGGGTGGAGGGTGGGAACATTTCACAATTTTTTGCAAATAAAAGTTGCTAAACCTTCTTAATACTAAAAAATCTGGTTTCCAAAGCTATCTCAGTTTGGTTTTGGACATGTCAATAATAAAAAGGCAGTGAAAAAACTGTTTAAAAAACCTTTATGAAATTTTCCAAAAGGCTTTTTAATAAATTATAAAGAGCACCAAACCAAAATGTTTTACTAAATAATGGGCAAACCTTTCCTATAACTTTATAAATGTAGACTTCTTTTCATTCAAGACAAAGAATACTGAACAGGAATAGGTGTTGTGAATCAGGATAAAAAAGGCAATTCATTCTAAGTCAATATCTAATGCATATTTTGCAATTAATCTGAAAAGCCTTCTGCGGTACATATGTATGTTATGGTAAGTAAAAGAATGATTTCTATCAGGATGTTGTAGATCTCTATAATTGTTCTGATACTATAAAATATGACATATACTGAAGCTGCTATTTAACAAGAAAAGTTTTGTTTATAATAGCTGTTAATATTAAAATAGGATATAATAAAAAATATTTTCAATGTGTATATTTTCAAATTTGCCTGACAGTGTCCTTTTGAGAATTCTGACAATTTGTAATTAGATTACAGACATTTGAATCTCACTTTTATGATTGAAAATGTTACACTCACATAACAAGCAATGCTATTAGTAGCTTTTTACTGAAGCACTCTGCAAGTTATATTTAAAGCTTTGCAATAAACAAAATTCATTGTACTCTTTGTAAGTAAAATTACACAACATATAATGTACACTATAATTACATTAAGAATAAATAAATGAAGCATAAAAATTCTGTGCCATAACAATGGACTGTTTTAGCTGTCATTTTAAATGTTAATTTATATGTTTGTATTGAGTACTAATGTATTTTAAACTCAAGAACCTTTACCTTTAAATAATATACTAAAAATATCAAGTTTGGATTATAAACATAAAAGTTTATGCCTCTTTCTCTAGGTCATCTAGGAAATAAAATAAAACAAATGGGAGGCAAGGAGAGTTCTTTCTGTTACTGCAAAATGCCTCCTTGTTTTCGCATAGATTTCTATGTCATTTCTGGATATTACAAGGTGACAAATATTACAAGATGACAGCTTGGCAAATTATGAGCTTCTCTAAGTGATTTCTTATTTAGAAGAAGGAAATAATTTAAACAAAGAACCTCCTTTTTTGGCTTACTCATTCTCAATCTTTTTTCTCTAATAAAGCACTTCTTGAAATGCTCACTATTAATCATTTTAAACAGCACAAAATGAATTGTATTAATTTATAGAACTAATCACAATAGGTTATCAGTATAGATACTAAGGTGAGGTCCTAGAATTTGTTACACGTAAGGCTAAACTTGCAAGAGATCGCATGGCAAAAGTGGAAACTTTGTGACATATCCCAGCTTTTGAAATATAGTTAGAAGCCAATCGAAAAAGCCTTTCGGCACCAAAGGTATTGAAGTGCCCAGGAAGCACCTTCTCTACCAGACCTCTGTCCACTAATTCTATCAGACGTTCACATGTTCCAACATAGTCACTTATCCTGCTGTATGGGAGCCAGTCAATCAGTGATCCATCATACACAACGTCTCCACTGAAAAGAATCTTCCGGTCTTTGTCATGTAAGCAAATACTGCCCCTGGAGTGACCAGGCATGTGCATAACAGTGAGCTGTCTGTCACCAAGGTTTATCACATCACCTACAAATAGAAACAGAGTTTACAGATAAACATGTTGTATACTTGACTTCAATCACTTAAAGAATAAAAGAACCAGTAGTTGATTGAAAAGAATCAGCAGTTGGTTTCAAAGAGGTCCAGAAGGATGACACTTATTTTTCATTTTATTTCAGAAACACAATATTTCTTAATGAAGAATTAAAAATAAGTTGACTGTATTTCATTTCTATTGTTTGCTTGACCAGTGTTTGTCAAAGTGAGTTATGTGGAACACTATTTCTGTAGGTTGTCTGATACATAAAAGAAAAGGAAGATTCTGTAGTCAAATACTTTGGGAAACCCTTCCTTCAAAGAAAATGAAGCAGATTTTTTTCAACAAGGCTTCTGAGAGCTTTTTAATATGCTAATCTACATTGTAGATATACACAAGTGAGATATGTACCATTTCTCAAACTTATTTGACCACAAACCTTTTATTTTTCAGTACATCCATGGTACAAGTTTCCTGATGACACAATTCATGAATGCTGCTCTTTGAGGTATGAGAGCAAAATTGCAGTCTCACTGGATTTAAATCAGTACTAGCTTAAGTTACTCATCATAATTTAAAAGTTCCATATTGTTATCTTTAGTGCAAACATACATACAGAAAAAAATTAAAGACATAAAATTTAAAAGTTAACAGGGGAATTAAAACAGTGTAATAATCAGAATTTGTTAAGCCTAAAAGATAATGAAAGAGGAAAAGAGGGAAAAATAAGAAATAGATACAGAAACAAATAACAAAATGGCAGCCCTAAATTCAACTATAGCAATAATTACATTAAATGTTAATGGGATAAACATTGTAATCAAAGGCAGAGATTGTCAAAATAGATTTAAAAAGCAAAGGAACAGGGGTGCCAGGGTGGCTCAGTTGGTTGAGTGTCTGAATTTGGTTCCTGTCATGATCTCAGGATCCTGGAATTCAGCCCTGAGTCAGGCTCCCTGCTCAATGGGGAGTCTGCTGCTCCCTCTCCCTCTCCACTTCTTCCCCCCATTCATGCACACATGCTCTCTCTCTCAAATAAATTACCTCTTTAAAAATAATAATAATAATAAAAGATAAGATATATGCAGTCTATAAGAGAGGAACTACAAGGTCAAAGACAAAAAGAGGTTGAAAAAGTTATACCACATAAAGTTTAATAAGAGAACTAGAGTGGCTATATTAATATTAGACAAAATAGGACTATTAGTAAAGAAAAGAGATACATTTTGGGGGCACCTGGATAGCTCAGTGGGTTAAAGCCTCTGCCTTCGGCTCAGGTCATGATCCCAGTGTCCTGGGTCGAGCCCTGCATCAAGCTCTCTGTTCAGCAGGGAGCCTGCTTCCCCCCACCCCACCTGCCACTCTGCCTGCTTGTGATCTCTATCTGTCAAATAAATAAATAAAATCTTAAAAAAAAAGAAAAGAGGTATATTTTATTGGGATATACATTAAGTCAACACACTCAAAAATTATAAATGTGCTTGTCCCTAACAAAGAGACTACAAATTCATGAGTAAAAACTGACAGAACTGAAATAAGAATAAACAGTTCAGGAGCACCTGGGTGGCACAGTTGGTTAAGCAGTGGACTCTTGATATTGGCTCAAGTCATGATCTCAGGGTCGTGAGACTGAGCCCCATGAAGGCTCCATGCTCAGCATGGAGTCTGCTTATAACTCTCTCTCTCTCTCTCCCCCTGTACTCATTCGTGCTCTCTCTCTCTCTCTCTCCCCCCACCCCAACAAATAAGTTGTTTTTTTTTTTTTTAAGATTTTATTTATTTGACAGAGAGACAGCAAGAGACAGAACACAAGCAGGGGGAGTGGGAGAGGGAGAAGCAGGCTTCCCACTGAGCAGAGAGCCCAACGTGGGGCTTGATCCCAGGACCCTGGGATCATTACCTTAGCTGAAGGCAGATGCTTAATGACTGAGCCACCCAGGTGCTCCAAAATAAATACTTTTTTAGAAAAGAATAAACAGTTCAACAATTATGCTTGGAGATTTAAATATTCCTCTCTGAATAATTTGTAAAATAAGTAGATAGAAAATCAGCAAGAATACAGAAGATGTGAACAACACTATCAACTGATTTGACCTAAGTGACATATATAAAATGCTTTATCTTAAAACAGCATACAGTCTTTTTAATTGCACATGGGGTATTCATCAGGCTATTCAGTGAGGCTATAAAGCAAGTCTCAGTAAATATGAAAGGAATAAAATCATAAAAATAACTTTTTGACTACAACATAATTAGAAATTATTAACAAAAATATTATGGGAAATATCCAAATATACACAAAGTAGGCATCACAATTCTACATAACTTATGGATCAAAGATGAAATCACATAGGAGATTATAAAATCTCTTGCACTGAATGAAAATACAAATAAAATATATCAAAATTTATGGGATGCAGTTAACGCCCTGCTTAGAAAAAAATTTATTGCTTTAAATGCTTATTTATAAAGGATTATCTGTTTAAAATCAAAGTTTCTAACCAAAATTTTGATCTTAAGAAGTTAGGAAAAGGTTTGGATCAAGTATAAAGTAAGTGTTAAAGAATAAATAATGAAGGCCAGTACAGAAATAAATAAAATAAGAAACAAAATCAATAGAAAAAGTCAAAGAAACCAATAGCTGGTTCATTGACAAGAGGAACAAAATTGATATACCACTGGCTAGACAAAAAAGAGAAAACACAAATTGCAAAAATCAGGAATGAAAGAAGGGATCCCAAAGGAAATTAAAAGGAGTATAAGGGAATATTATGAATAACTTTAAACAAACTTGACAACTTAGTTGAAAAGACAAATTTTTAGGAAGAGACAAATTACCTCAAGTGACTGGACAAACAGAAAATCTAAATAGACCTATATCATGCAAAGAAGTTGATAAATAATTTAAATCTTCCCACAAAGAAAAGTCCAGGCTCAAAGATGGCTTCATTGGTCAATTCTGTCAGTCACTCAGGACAGGGAAGGAATCTTGACTTTCAGAATATAGATGAGGAGGGAAAGCTTTCAAATTCAATTGTAGACAAAGACAAACAACAACCAGTATTCCTAATGACAGTCATCTCAAAATCATTATCAAAATATTGGCAAATTAAAGACAGCAATTTATAAATAGGATAATGACCAAATGAGGTCTATCCCAGAAATGTAAATTTTGTTTGACCTCTGAAAATCAAGTAATGTAATATACTATATTAGTACAATAAAGGAAAAATCCATATGGACATCTCAATAGATGCAGAAAAAAGCATATGACAAAATCCAACCCTAACTGGTGGTAAAAACTTTCTGCAATCTAGAAAGAGAAGGGAAGGTCCTCTACTTGATAAAGGGCACCTATGAAAAACCTACAGCTAACATATCACTGAATAGAAACACTAAATGCTTTCCTACTAAGATAAGAAGAAGGCAAGGATATTTACTTTTACCATTTCTATTTAACATTACACTGAAGATTCTAGCCAGTGCAGTAAGCCAAGAAAAAGAGTAATGTCACACAGAGTTGCAAAAGAAGTAAATCTGTCTTTATTCACAGATAACAAGATCTTTTTGTAGAAAATCCTAAGAAACATACAAAAAAGCTAGAGAATTTAAAAAAACAAGTTTAGCAATGTTACAGGGTACAAGATCAGATACAAAAATCAATTGTAGGGGCGCCTGGGTGGCTCAGTCAGTTAAGCATCTGCCTTCAACTCAGGTCACAATCCCAAGGTCCTAGGATCAAGTCCTGCATTGTGTTCCCTGCTCATAGGGGAATCTGCTTCTCCCTCTCCCTCTCTAGCTCCCCCTGCTTGTGCATGCTCTATCTCTCTGTCAAATAAAATCTTTTTAAAAAATCAATTGTATTTCTACATATTATCAATGAACCATTAAAAATATGTAATTTAAAAAGCCATATTGGGGCACCTGGGTGGCTCAGTAGGTTAAAGCCTCTGCCTTCTGCTTGGGTCGTGATTCCAGGGTCCTGGGATCGAGCCCCGCGTCGGGCTCTCTGCTCAACAGGGAGCCTGCTTCCCTTCCTCTCTCTCTGCCTGCCTCTCTGCCTACTTGTGATCTCTGTGAAATAAATAAATGAAAATCTTAAAAAAAAATAAATAAAAAGCCATTTCTTCCATAATAGCAACGAAAAGAATAAAATACTTAGGAAGAAAAATTTAACAAAAGATGTTTTGTTATATCTATATACTGAAAAGTATAAAAACACTATGAAGAGAAATTAAAAACCTAAACAAAAGGAGAGATATATCATGTCAATTAAGTGGAAGCCTCAAAATTGTTAAGATGGTATTTAAATATGATTTTTCCTATAGCTACAATGCCCAATAGAACTTCCTGAGATTATTGAAATATTCTGTATCAACTCTGTCCACTACTGGACATGTGGCTACTAGCCTCATGTGGCTAATGGTACTTGAAAAAGGCTAATGCACTACAATTTTAATTTTAATCAATCCTAATTAATTTAAATTTGTATTTAGATAGTCAAATATGACTAGTAGCTAATATAATGGTGAGTGTACATCTATAGATTTGATAAAATCTCAATCAAAATCTTGACCTTTTTGGGGCGCCTGGGTGGCTCAGAGGTTAAAGCCTCTGCCTTCGGCTCAGGTCATGATCCCAGGGTCCTGGGATCGAGCCCTGCATCGGGCTCTCTGCTCCGTGGGGAGCCTGCTTCCCTTCCTCTCTCTCTCTGCCTGCCTTCCTGCCTACTTGTGATCTCTCCCTCTGTCAAATAAATAAATAAAATCTTTAAAAAAAAAAAAAATCTTGACCTTTTTGTAGAAATTGAAAATCTCATTCTAAAAGTTACATGGAAATGCAAATGACAGAATAGCCAAAACAATTTTGGAAAAGAGGTACAAAGTTGGAGGACTTACACTACTTAATTTCAAGAATTATAATAAAGTTACAATAATTAAGACAGTGTGGTGCTGGCTAAAGGATGGATATAATCAATGGAAGAGAAGAG